GAGTTCAAAGCCACCCTGGACTACATGAGATTAACTCAGTCTAGGAGAGAAACAGAGCTAGGCAGTGGTGGCACACACCTTTAATCCCAATACTTGGGAGTCACATGCCTTTAATCCTAGCACTAAGAATGAAGTAGTATGGCTGGGCAGAGAAATGTATATAAGGCGTGAGGAGACAGAACTAGAAGCTTTTCGGCTGAGGAAGTCTTTCGGCTGAGGACTCAGAGACATTCGGTGAGAGGGTTGGTGGAGTTGCGAGGTGAGATGTGGCAGTGGCTTGTTCCTTTATCTCTCTGATCTTTCAGCATTTACCCCGATATCTGGCTCCATTTTTTTTTATTATTATTAAAAGACCAGTTATAGAATTCGAGCTTCATGTTGGTGTATAGGTGTGCTAGTCATCTGAGAGGAGGGATCCTCATCTGAGAAAACTCATCCACAAGATCTGGCTGTAGGCAAGCCTGTAGGGCATTTTCTTAATTAGTGATGGATGGGGGAGGGCCCAGCCCATTGTGGGTGGTGCCATCCCTGGGTTGGTGGTTCTGTGTTCTATAAAAAAGCAAGCTGAGTAACATGGAGAGCAAGCCAATGAGCAGCACCCCTCCATGGCCTCTCCCTCAGCTCCTGCCTCCAGGTTCCTGCCCTGTCTGAGTTCCTGTCCTGACTTCCTTCGGTGATGAACAGTGATGTGGAAGCGTAAGCCAAATAAACCCTTCCCTCCCTGGTCCCTGGTCATGGTGTTTCATCACAGCCGTAGTCACCCTGACTAAGACAACAGGTGACACCCAGAGTGAATGGTGATGGATGAGATGCCCAAGCAGGCGCTTGTGGGCCGGGAAGCAAGGAGGGTGGAGGCCCGAGCGCTGGCTCCTCCAACACAAGCGATTTCGAGACACAAGATCAGCAAGGGAGACTGGGAAGTGACTGGGGGGGGGGGGGGCGAGATCGAGTAGACGGCATGGGGGAGTCCATAGAGAAAGGGGAAAGTGACAGGAAGGCAGAGGACACCACTGCCTCGCATGAGTGAACGACGGAGTAAGGACTACACGCTGATCCTGGAAGCATGGAGGTCAGTGATGAATGAGATCCTGCTTCAGCTGAGCTAAAAGAGAAGCATCCCCAAGCATGAGGGAAGCCCTAGATCACAAGCTCCAGGCCAATCTGGGATACATGGTGAGTTTGAGGCCAGCCTGGAATGTATAGTAAGACCCTATCTTAGAAAACAAAACTGGGGCTGGAGAGGCTGCTCAGTGGTTAGAGCACTGGCTGTTGCTGCAGAGGACTCAGGTTCCATTCCTAGCACCCATGTGGTGGCTCACAACCATCTGTAACTCCAGTTCCAGGGCATCTGATGCCCTCTTCTGACCTTCTCCGACACCAGGCACACGCAAGATATACATACATACATACATATATACATATACATACAATACATACATACATACATACATACATACAGGCAGGCAGGAAAACACCTATCACATGAAACAAAACCAAACAAATCTTTAGCAAAAAAAAAAAAAACTTCTATATAGGTAGAAGATTGCTGGTCTTATTTAAAAGAAAACATTTAAGGGAGACCAAATGAGGTGATACCTCAAACGGACTTGGCTTGTGTAAGATAGGATGGTAGAAAGGACGGACTGAGATACGAACAGTGTCATTGAACACTGATGGTAGAACACCCTGGAAGATACGCTGCTGTTCACCTTAAGCTTCTATCAACTTTACGGTATGGCCTCATTTTATTGTTGTAAAAATCCATATCACATAAAACTTACCACCTTTATTTCAAACACATCTTTAGCATTGAACACTTGCATAACACGCGCAGTCGTCATCACTGTCCACCCCCCACAACGCTTTTCATCTTGTAAAACTGAAACTCTCTAAACATTACACAATAATTCTCCATTCCCCCTTCCCCCAGTCCCTGGCAACCAGCACTTGACGTTCTGCCTTATGTTTTGATTGCTCTAAGTGCCTCACATAAATGGAATCATAGGCTCCTTTTTATGACCAGCTTGTTTCACTTAGCATACTGTCCTCAAAGCACATCATTGCAGCTCGCGTCTGAACTACCGTCATTGTGGAGGCTGAGTAATACCTTCATGGGTGGCTCTACCTCAATCTGCTCACCTGCTTTCACTGATGGGCACCTGGGTGAATTCCTCATTTTAGCTGTTATTGGTGGAGATGCTGGGAATGAGTGGACAGATAGCCAAGGCCCTGTTTTCAATTCTGCTGGGTGTCCACCTGGTGTGGCATTGCTGGGTCACATGTCCTGTGCATTGGTTATGGTTTGAATATGGCCTTCAGTGTCAGTGTTTCAAGTGCTGGAAGCTGGGTCACCAGGATGGCAATGTGGAAGAGGGTGGAACCCTTAAGTAAGAGATGATTAGGTCATTGAGGATATTACCCTTGGAAGAAACTGATGTACTTTCTCATGAGACCTTGGTTTGTTCTTGCAAGAGGGTTGTCATAAAATAACAAGGCTGGCCCGTCCCCAGTTCTCTGGATTCCTGTCTCATCTCGTGAACTCTCTCTCACGCACAAGCTCCATCTGTGATTGAATTGTATGCATTCACTCAGGACTTCATCTGTTCTTTACATCTTCACCCAAGGCTTCCTCAGCTCCCCTCAGCTGATTCTCTTCCAGGCTAGTCCTCTGTGTGTGTGTGTGTGTGTGTGTGTGTGTGTGTGTGTGTGTGTGTGTTTCTTTCTGGAGCACGGGTGCCCTGGCAGCGGCTACACTACTGAAGAAAACGACTCTCCTTGCCCCAGAAACCGTGAACTCCTCAAGGAGAGGTGGGGCCTCATGAGACCCTCTGCTTTCTGTGACAGAGGTTGACAGGCAGACAATCACAGCCCCTGAGGGTTCAAGAGCACAGTGGCTATGTCACCCCTGGAACACGGTGTTCTACATCACTCCACCCCTTTCTCTGGCTGTTACCTTCTTTCTAAGCCCTGTTCTGCAATGTCCCATGAGCCTTGGAGCTATATCCCATTTAGGATGGAGTGTTCATCGGTCACTTATTCTCAGCACCCTGACCAACTAGGACTCTCTGAAGTATCTGCTGCCTGATGTAAAAAGAAGCATCTCTGATAAGAGTTGACAGCAGCACTCATCTGTGGGCATAACACAAGGATTTAGAAGGCGATTTGACAAGTGTAACATGCCCATTTAGTAAGGCAGCAGTATTAGCTTCCCCACTTTAGCCTATGACCTCTCCAGGCTTTTGACAGGTTTATGACATTGGACATGAATCCCACCCCGACCCCCGACCCCAGCAGCTCTCCAGTCCAATCAGAAAGCAGTTGCTTTGCCGACTTAAGAGTCATGCCGCTGCTGCCCAAGTGGCCACTCCTTGCCTAGCAGATTGGTACTGTAGCTCACAGAATCCATTGAGGAGTAAGACTGCTCATGCCTTTTCTCCCCCAGCAGCCTGAACAGCACCTTCCAGCACCATGAGAGCTAACCAGCAGAAAATAAGTTCCTTAGGCTGGAGAGATGGTTCAGAGGTTAAGAGCACTGGCTGCTCTTCCAAAGGATCCAGGTTCAATTCCCAGCATCCACATGACAGCTCATAACTGTCTGTAACTCCAGTTCCAGGGGATCTGACACCCTCATACAGACATATATGCAGGCAAAGCTCAATGTACATTAAATAAATAAATCTTTTTAAAAAAAAGAATAAAGAAAAGAAGTTTCTCGGGCTAGCATGTTTGGTGAGCCCCAAGCCCATGGAAGACTCAGTCCCAAAACCAGCAAACAGGCCCAGCTCACACCTGACAGAGTGAACCTAGCTGAGGACTATGGCTGGAGAGGTGATAGACCACAGAGGAGAATCTACCATAGCAGTTTTCCTAAACCAATATAATTTCTAACTATATTCTAAATACTTATCCTTATATCCACAGATAAGTGCAACTGTCACCTCTCATTTAAAAAAAAAAAAAAAAGCTGCTTTCTGCAGCAGATGGAGGCTACTACAAAGATCCACAACTGGCCAAAATGCAGAGGATAAGTGATCGTGGGTACCAACCCCAACTGATAACACACCTCCTACGTGTAAGGTTTAGAGAACATAGTGGGAGAGGTAACAGAAAGATTGGAAAAGGTACAGGGCCAAGATACCTGCGGCAAGACGGTATCTTCTTGACACAACAGGGGCTCGGCACCCACGCAATCTCAGCAATATGGTCACCTGCACAAGACCTGCACTAGGAACACCTTAGTCAACAAGCCAAAGAGAATGGGGGACAATATCGCAGGACCCCATCCCTATAGGAAAGCTACTGCAATTGATGGCTGTGGAGGGCAGGAGAATCAGTTTTCTCCAGGGAGAAGCCCCCAGTAAGTTCTCCAGCCCCAAGTAGTTAGTCCTAAACACACGTGCATGTACATAAGAGCAGCACTAAACAGGCTTGGCGGGTTATATGTGTTTATGTGTAAAACGTTAATAATTATGGAAGGAGTTGAGGGGACACCAGAGGAATTGTGGGGAGAGACCAGAGTGGAAATGATGTAAATACAGTATACACATGTCCTGGTTTGCTTTCCCTTGGTAATAAAACACTGACCAGAAGCAGCTTGGGGAGGAAAGGGTTTATTTGGCTTAGAGGTCACAGTCCATAATTAGGGGAAGCCGGGGCAGGAGCTCAAGGCACAAACCGAAGCAGAGACCGTGGTGGAATGCTGTTTACTGGCTCGCTCTCTTTGGCTTACTCAGCTACTTTTGTAATTTAGCCATGCCCACCTGCCTAGGAATGCCACCACCCACAGTGGACTGGGCCCTTCTACATCGTTAACAATCATGAAAACGCCCCACAGGCATGCCCATGGGCCAATCGAAAAGAGGCAGGTCCTCAGTTGAGGTTCCCTCTTCCCAAGTGACACCACTTTGTGTCAGGTTGACAGAAATCAAGTCAGCACAATTCCTGCATGAAACGTTAATTAAAGAATGACAGCTGGGTCCTTTCCAACTTGGGCCCGGCAGAACGGCCCCCGCAAAGAAGGGTGGTGAGAAGAAGGGCCTTTCTGCCACCAACGAGGTGGTGACCCGAGAACACACCACCAACATTCACAAGTGCATCCATGGAGTGGGCTTCAAGAAGCGTGCCCCTAGGGCACTCAAAGAAATCCAGAAATTTGCCATGAAGGAGATGGGGACTCCAGATGTGCGCATTGATACCAGGCTCCATAAAGCCGTCGGAATAAGGAATGTTCCATACCGTATCCGTGTACGATTGTCCAGAAATGAGGATGAGGACTCACCAAACAAGCTCTACACATTGGTAAATTATGTACCTGTTACCACGTTCAAACAGTCAGTGTGGATGAGAACTAAGCTGCTGAGTGTCAACTAAAGTTGGAGAACTGAAAAAAAAAGAATGACATCTGAGGTTCTCCTTTGCCCTCCACAAGCACACACATGAATATGTGTAGTCACACCAACACGCCCGCATACGCACAAAAGAACTCCTTATGGGTGAGGAAACTGAGGGTGGCACTGAGCGCTATGCACGGCCACCTGGGGGAGCCTCAGCAGGGAGGCAGTCACACAGCCCATGGAGTGTTGGCTCAGTAGTCAGGACTCTCTGGACTGTGTCCCAAGTGCCGTTCCATTTGTGAGCTGTGTAATCCGACTTAATCTCTCTGTGACCCAGTTTCCTCTTGTGCAAAGTAGAAATGATATTTACTTCTCAGGTGTGTTGTGGATGACTACACCAAGGACCGCACTTACCTAATGTTAGCTCTCAGGAGCCACGTGCTCGAAATATACCACACCCCTTCTGGAATTCTGTGACACGAGCCACAGAGCGTCCTCAGTCTCTGTGAGTTACCACAGCTCGAGTTGAATTTTTCAACTCTTAGAATCGAAAGATTTGGAACAAAAAGCACACCATTTTCATCTCCATTAAGAAGATGGTTAAACTAAAAATCAGAGAGGTTAAACTGGTTCCCCAAGGACGCACAGCTCGAGTTTGAACTCAGGGTCTGTTTGACCTATCAGTCTACTCAGAAAAGCAGTCTTTACACCTGCCACTAAAGCCCATGTGCTCAGGACCCTCATTCTTTTCTAGTCAAATGTTCTTTCTTTTGGGGAGTTTCCATGAAGGTGAAACCTGACACATGGAGAGAAAAGAGGGGGTGATTACGTAACCTCCTGAGCTCAGGCTGAACACCCCAGAGAGTAACGTAATGGATCACAAATTGTACTTGGGAGGCTTAATTTCACACGGTCCAGTGAACCACATCCCCATCTCTGCTCCCTGGAATGTGAGTAGGAACAGGCAGAGAAATGTTCTCACGACGATAGGCACACGCCAACTCCAGGGAGACCCCCCCCAGGGTTTTAGTCTTGAGGACGCCAGGTAGTGCCCACTCTCCCTGCCATCTCTGCCTTCTAGCCTGTTTGCCGTCTCTCCCTCTACTTCATTTTTTTTTTAATCTTCATTTCTTCTTAATCAGAAAGCCTTGGGATTGCTCACAAGAAATGGTTACAAACAAAATGTAAATACAAAAATCAAATACCGGCCGGGCGGCGGTGGCGCACGCCTTTAATCCCAGCACTCAGGAGGCAGAGCCAGGCAGATCTCAGTGAGTTTGAGGCCAGCCTGGTCTACAGAGTGAGATCCAGGACAGGCACCAAAACAAAACTACATGGAGAAACCCTGTCTCGAAAAACAAACAAACAAACAAATCAAATACCAGGCACCAAGACTGGGTAGGCCATAAAGTGGAGTAGAAAGTACAAGCTGAGAGAGTAGGGCAGTGTGTACTAAAAGTGGTATTTTACTGTTAACCATGGCTGAGCTGCTTGGTAGCCAATGTAAAACTGGGAAGCAGACAACTGTACAGTTCAGAAAATCTGAGTGGTGTAGATGGACAGAACATACCATCGGGGAAGCCAAGTGTCCCTTCAAGCTCATCTCCTCTAGACCAGTTTCCCATGTTGTGTGAGGGGATACTGAGGACTGTCACATCCAGGGTCCTGGCCTGGCCTCCGGATATAGGAACAGGTTTCAAAACTGTTGGAGAAAGCAGTCAGAGTGGTCCCCAAAACACAACTCCACCAGAGCCTTCAGAAAACTGGAGAGATGGCTTAGTAGTTAAGAGCACTAGCTGATCTTGGAGAGGACCCAGGCTTGATTCCCAGCACCTACAAGGCAGCTCACAACCATCTATAACTCCAGTTCCAGGGGATCCCATGTCTTCTTCTGCACTCTGTGGGCACAGACATGCATGCAGGCAAAGCACTCATATGCAGAAAAGTAGAAGGAATAAATCTAAAAAAGATAAGGTTTCTGAGACTGAGAAAGCAGCCGATGACGGAGTGAGTCCCTGGGTTTGATTCCCAGCACTGTCCCAAATAGGGGAGAGGCTGGGGGTGGATGCCGCAAGTAAATATGTTAGTGGTAAAGTCAGGATTGACAGAATCAAGTTTGTTTGGTACTTAGTTTTTACTGTCGCTAAGGTCTAAAAGCACATAGCAGAGAATTCTGGGACAAAAACGTGAGAGAAGACTGAAGGTAGCCAGTTCCAGAAGATAAAAGAAGCGTGTGTGTGTGTGTGTGTGTGTGTGTGTGTGTGTGTGTGTGTGTGTGTGTGTGTAGCTGGCCAGGACTTGGCTGTCTGCATCCCCAGGTGAGCTGATCCCAAGAGGATCAGGCATGGGCTAGACCTAAAGCTCAGGTGGAAGTATCGTTTTGTTTTGTTTTGTTTTGTTTTGTTTTGAGACAGGGTTTCTCTGTGTAGTTTTGGTGCCTGTCCTGGATCTCACTCTGTAGACCAGGCTGGCCTCAAACTCACAGAGATCCTCCTGGCTCTGCCTCCCGAGTGCTGGGATTAAAGGCATGCGCCACCGCTGCCCAGCTAGGTGGAAGTATCTTGATCAGGTGACATCAGCAGTGTGACTTCCAGGACAGTCCCCTCTAACTGCTACCTCTTGGTTTCCACTGGCTTTGAGGCAGAACATTCCACCATCACGCAAGTCTGTATCACCCCCAGGCTCGGAAGCCTCAGAATGGAGAGTCTGCAGCTCCAAGCAAAAACAAACAAACAAACAGAACCCCACAAGCTTTACTGAAAATTAAGGTTTGTATCTGTACAACAATGTACAATCTGTATGATAAAACAAATGAAAGTTTGGCTTGGAGAGCTGGAAGGATCCCAACACCACGGCACATGCGCCACAGGGTGCATTCTACCCTGCTGGGCGGGTTCAGTCTTCAGGAACCGTTTGTTCTTCCCTGGGGATGGATGACTTCAGGCTGTGCCCCAAGCCTGTCAGAGTCACTTCCCTTTCAGACGCCCTACCTGATCAGCTCAGGTCTTCTCAAGTCCCTGGGAGAGGCTTGAGTTACACCCAGATCAGTTACCAGAGCACACTGGTCCCTGAGCAGGATCCAATAAGGATGAGGGGCTTCCAAATGTTCCGACCTGTTGCTGTCCCCTTTCTATCAAATCAAGCTTCGGTGAGGTTTAAAGTCTTGCCAAACCGCACACAGCAAATCGACAGGAGCCAGATCTCCAGCTGGGAAGTTGGTTCAGATGATGGCTACATCAGGCAGCCTTCGTGAGACAAGATTGTGAGGCTAAGTGTGGACTCCCACACTTATAGTCACAACGCTGGGGAAGGTGAGGCAGGAGGATTGCATTCAAAACCAGCCTGAGCTACATGGGGAGGACCTGTATCAGCAAAGAAAGGAAGGGAGAAAGGAAAAGGAGGGGGGAGAGGAGGCAAAGTCAGTTTGCAAGCCAAAATGAAGAAAACGTGAAGGGACCCACTGATAACGGAGGTCAGGTCTCAGGGGCAGTAGTAAAAGGAATGGTCACATTTTACTTTGCTTTGTTTTATTGGACACAGGGTTTCATTCTATAGCCCACACTGGCCTAGAACTCACCATCTAGCCCAGGCCCTCCTTTATATGCCATCCTTCTGCCTCAGTATTTGGAGTCCTAGAATTGCAGGTCTGAGCCACCACTCCCGGTTCATATTCTCCACTGTATCTTTCTGTAATTTTTTGGTTACTTCGACTATGATTTTATCTTTTGCATTGATAAGATTCAACCCAGGGCCTCGGTCACACTGGAGCAGCATCTGCCTCTAACCCACATTTTCAGTCCCTTGACAGTTACCCAAGGACATCAAAAGGTTGTTCTTCAGACAGGAACCCCAAGTGTCCTTCCTTGATCACATTTCAGTCTCCTCAGTGTTTCTTCCCTCATGTCCACCCCCACCTGTGCGCTCCCCTGTGCTCCCCTGAAGGTCAGAGGATGACGTTTGGGAGTTGGTTCTCTCCTTCCACCTTGTTGAGAGGCAGGGTCCTTGTTGCTATTGCTGCTAAAGCTTTGAACTTGTGTCTGGCTGGCCCTTGGGCTTCTGGATGATTCTCCTCTCTCCACCCCCATCGTGGGGTGCTGGAATTACAGATGTTCACACACCAGGGAATCAGCGTTTTACATGGGTTCTGAGGATCAAACTCAGGTCCGCAGGCTTCCATGGCAAGTCCTTTCCCCCACCGCGCTGTCTCTCTGCCCCCCCCCCCCACATTCTGACACAGGGTCTTATGTATTCCAGCTGCCATGAACTCACTATGTCGCTGAGGATGACCCTGAACTCCTGATCCTCCAGCCTCTATCTCTCAAAGGCTGAGATTACAGGTGTGCACCACCAGGCCTGGTTTATGCTGCTCTGGGGATTGAACCCAGGGCTTCATGCACTAGGCAAACACTCTATCAACTGAGCTACATCCCCTAGCCCTTCCTTAAGGACCTTCTGAGAACCTGACTTCCCGTAGGTGGGTGGGAGAGAGAGAAGACATTGGCCATCCCACGTCTCTCTGCAGTCTGCCTGATTTTTTTTTAATTTTTAATTTTATTATGTATTTATTATGTAATAAATGAATGTGGCCAGACAAGTTTCTCCCCTTCCCTCCTCAACCCCGTCTAGACCCAGCAAACAGAAAGGAATGCTCCCTGAGGCTAAAGCAGGGAAAGCCAGTATCTTAGCAGGGTGACATGCTGCGTCACCCGTGGCTGTGTGCATGCTGTCTTGTGGACTCTCACTCACAAGAGAGCAGAGGCTGCTTTTCCTCAGCTGCTGTGGTGCTATCCAGGTATCTTTCACTTTCAGGAAACAGGAATCCAGTTTGAACTGACTTACTAGGAACTGGGGAGTTGGGTGCATGAGGCCTTGGGTTCTAGTCCGAGCACTAAGAAAAAGAGAAGTAGGTTTCATCATTAATATAATTGAAAAATCTACACATAACTTTCTCTGACTTCAGGCATGGCCAGATCCAGGTGCTAAAAGACTGTCTCAGGCCTTGATCTTCTTCCTGGGCAAGTTCTTTGCACACTGTGGCCCTGTCCCCTGCTCAAGGGCTTAAGCTTGGGAACCCAGGAGAAAGCCACCCTCAACAGGAGTTCCAACAGGAGTCCCAGAATCCAATCTCATTGGCTTTGCTTAGGCCAGAACCAATCATTGCAGGCAGCTGGATGGAATATGCTAACTGGTCCTCCCTCCTTAAATCTCAAGGCATCAACCAGTCTCCACCCTGAAGCCCATGATGTGGGGCCACACAAGAGGGCTATGGGGGAGCAGTGATCACCCAAAGTGAAGACAGGCCACTGTCAGTCAGAAAGTGGGAAACGTACTGGGCACAGATATCCAGTGCTAGAGCCAAGGCCCCTTTAAGTGAACTTGGCAGAAACTGTGGTAGAGAAAAATCACCGTTTACCCAGCCTAAGGCAGAAAAGAATAGAAATTGGGGTTGGGATTCAGAGTGAGAGGGCCACGGGGGGGGGGGGGGGGGGGGATGGAAAAATCAGCGGCCTCTGCCTGCTGGGGGCTCCACACACAGGGGCTGAGCCTGCAGCACCACCCTTGGGGTGGAGGGAAGGGCTTAATTCAAAGAGCTGGACCCCAGTAGCCACTGATAGCAATCTCTGGGGTGGCTGCGGAGGCATTTTTTTTTTTTTTGAGGGTGAGGACATCCATCCCAGCTCTAGCATCCCAGGCATAGTAAGGGGGACAGAATTTCGTAACTGCCATGCTGTGTCCTATCTGCCATCCCATGTGAGTCCTGCCAGCTCAAGCCGGCTGCCTGGAGGTCAATCGAACCTGCACCTATTGACATGGCTGAGTTCCACGAGACTGGGAACCAGACCTTGGACACGACTGGGTTCTGCCCCTGTGGAAGGCCCCTTGGCGGGCAGCCAGCAGGCCAACACCCTGCTCCTGTGCCCAGACCTTCCTTATAGAGCTGGGATTCCAGGAGACCACAGATGAGGACCCAGGCCTCCTCTTCTCTGAGAGTTTGCTCTGAGAAGGCCCAAATAAACGGCAGCTTGTGCTCATGGTTCCCGAGGACACAGCCAATGGTGCCTATTCTTAAGGTCCCTGTTCCTGTGGTACACCGATGAGATGCCTGGGGACCAGTGGCTGCTAATCCAGCTGTCAGGATGACAAAGAGCTGAATGGGCCAACGGATACTTTGATAGACTCAGTTTTCTGTTCTCTTCTGCTCCCAACACTTCCCCTACCACATCTCTTTTTCATCAGGTCAACCATTTACCCATGTGCTCAAAGCACACACACACTTTGCCTCATTGATTCTGGAACCCAGATCTGGTCAGAAACCCATCTCTGGAGGCCTTTCTCCAAGTGAGGCTCCCCAGTCACCCTCCTCAGGACCACATGAATGTTTGTGAACTGTTTGGCTATTTAGACCCCATCCAGGCCTAATACATCCACCTCTCTGAGCCCTGAAGGCCGGCACTTTGCATTTTTAAAGGCTGGTGAGGGGGCCCAGCAAGTAAAGGCGCTTGCCATCAACCCTGACGACCTGAGTTTGATCCCTAGGACCCACATGGTGGGAAGAGAGAACAGGCTCTCAGAGTCCTTCAGCCTCCACATGTGTTCCATGACACACACACACACAGAATACATGTAATTTTTTAAAAAGGTTGTGGGGAGTCCCCTCATTTACCCAGACCAGGAAACTTGATGGGGGGGTCGCTGATGCACCCCAGAGCTTAGGAGGGACCTCTGTCATCACAGCGTCTTAGTTGGTTGTCATGTACACAGACACTCACCAGGCAGGGCCCCAACAGGAAAGTCCTGATTCATGAGACTCCGCCCCCTTTGGCCCTTCTATCAGGTAATTCAAAGTCTCCAGGTCTCCAAGTTACTGATTAACCCTGGGTTTCGAGTAAAGTAATAATAATAACTGAAGGGGAGGACGTAAGCTGAGAAGCAAGCTGGACAACCAGGAGAGAAAGATGCCAGACGTCTGCTGTCAGCAGGTACCTGGAGAGAGCAGAGAGGAGGCTGGAGGCGTCTCCACAGGGCCAGAATCCATGCAAGTTCCGGCAGCACCGGTGGACACTCCTTGCGGATGCCCCTGCCCAGAACAGCCTCATCTCAGCAACTCCGTACCCAGAATATCCTGCACTAAGGCCCCCCAGCCTATCTCAGCAGGTGCCACCACCACGACCACCATCATTGCCTTGGGACCCACTGGGCGCCTCAGCATCTCTATGGAGGCTGACCTGGAATGCTTGGTGTGCAGAGAGCCTTACAACTGTGCCCGGTGCCCCAAGCTGCTGAGCTGTCAGCACACCTTCTGTGCCGTGTGCCTGAAGCTTCTGCTCTATGTGCAGGAAGACACCTGGTCCATCCCCTGTCCACTGTGCCGAAAGGTCACCGCTGTCCCAGGAGGTCTTATCTGCAGCCTGCGAGACCAGGAGGCGATGGTGAGGCGGCTGGCCCTGCCATACCCAGAGGTGCGCCTATGTCCCCAGGGGCTAGTGGGTTCTGCCTCTTCAGCAGCGCGGCCAGCCAACTGGACAGGAGAAGATGATCAGGACATAGTGAATGTGAACCGTGTCGCTGCCCGGCGCCTGGCCGTACACCTGCTCTTGTTGGCTCTTCTCATTGTCCTCATCCTGCCTTTCATCTACCCTGGCATCATCCGGTGGGTGCTGGCCATTATCATCGCCCTGGCACTGCTGATGTCCACCTTGTTCTGCTGTCACCCTCACAGCCAGAGCAGCAACTGGCCTTGCCCCAGGACTCTGTTCTGCAGAAAACAAAAGCAAGCCCAGATCACTTCTATTGCCTAAGAGATCCGGATCCCTACAGGACCAGCGCTGCCATGGCTCCCCCTTCCCCAGATCTTATAACCCAAACGGGAAAGGGGCTAAGAGCCTCCCTTCGAAATCACATGCGAACTGGACTTGAATGCCAAAGCCAGACTGGCTGTGTTGGATCAAGGACTCAGTGCGGGGACGATGGGCTTGGACCTGTCTGCCTGCCCTTGTGTAGCATAGCTCAACTTTTAGGGGGGAAAGGGAGGAGACAAATTCCCTGAATGAGTGACTTCACAGGTGGTGGGGTCCCTACCCCTCTTCCTGAGCTCCTGGGTTTTGTATATATCACTCTGGACATATTGGGACACTGGCCTTACTACAAAGCAAATAGAACCAGAGGCTCTTTTGTAATCCTTGTAGCTGGCTGCATTTTCTTGTACGGGTTTTTCTGTTTGGTGTGCCGCGAGGTCTGTGGCTGTTTCTAGGTGTTGTGCATTCTCCTTCCTGGGATGCCGGAGCCCATGCGAGCACTGCTGGGCTTTCTCCAGAGTCACTGACTGTACCCATCCTAAACCCTCCACGGCAAAGGTCTCATCAGGGTTTCCCACAGGGTCCACCCCAGCGTGGGAGAGAAAGAAACCACATGGAGGTGAACTTGTAAAGCTGGGGAGGGGGCATACCCCAGGTTCAGCAGACAGAGTTGGGGAGGCGTGGAGAGGGTGGGTCCAGGAATTGTCCCCAGACTCCTCACTGAGATCATCAGTTGTGTACCATCTGGCCCAACTCATAGAATCTGAGGGTTATAAGGAGACAGAGAGAGAGAGAGAGAGAGAGAGAGAGAGAGAGAGAGAGAGAGAGAGAGAGAGAAAGGGATCCAGCTCTCCATCAGACTCCCAGACCCACATGACCTAACGAAAGCTTTCCAAATGGTACCACCCTCCTTATCACATCTACAGTCCTATTTGCTCCTTTGCCATAAAGATAAGACATCTCGTAAATGCAACGGTCCTCAGCAATGACATCCCCCACCCCTCAGACTCAGCGAGACAGTCACTAGAAAGGTCCCTGGGTCATCTCTTCAAGACCCTTTGAGCTTCCTCTTCACACAGGGAAGCATCTGCCCTCAGAAGTCAGCTCTGGTGGGTTCCAGGTTAAGGGTCTGCCAGGGTGGAAATGGGAGGACAAGAGGTCCAGCATGGGAGCTGGAAGCATGGACTTCTGGCCCATCCATCAACATATGCCTGTGGCGCCTATTAGCATATTGGAAGGTCCTTATGATTAGTGGCGACAGATGTGAAACTCCAGAGGGACTCTCCATTTCCTGAAATAGGAGAATAACAGGCAGACAGGGCACAGTTCATGGTGACAGGACCTTTGTCAGGAGTGATGAGAGGGCTCTGCCACTGGTCAGTAGTCACATGCTGTTGAGCAAGGTCTCTGGCTCTCAGCTTCCTTCCCTTTCCCCAGACTGAGTAAGTCTGAATCAATTAGTCTTAAAAACTCCAGGCTGTCCCAACTGCTCAGGGCATGGCTCAAGCCACAGGTGGATGGAGGGGACAAACTCTTGTGAATGCCTGCAAGGAGGTCACAACAAGGACTCCTGTCTCACTGTGTGGCAGGCTGAGGGTGGAGCTCAGTGGTAAAGTGTTTGCCTGGAATATGTGAAGGCCTGGGTTCCACTCATCCCCAACGCCACGAAATAAATAAGTGCCCAAGTAAACAAAAGTCCATGTGCAGCACACTGTCCTGAAAATCACAGTGCCTCCTTACTTTTCTTAGGAGGTCAGGCAATTCTCAGCGCAGAAAGAGAGTGCTGGGGGTGTGTGCATGGACTCAGGCTCTTATAGTCAGCCAGCGTGGGCCTGAAGAATACCCTTTTCCAGAGGGTGAGCAGATGGAAAGGGCCTTCAAGCATCTCCCCCATTGGCCTTGGGTGTGTGCAGTTTGGGATGGCTGCCAGTCAGACAGCAAAAGGACGTTGTCTCCCCACCTGCTCCTCCAGGCCCATTGTACTTCCTGGAGACAAAATCCACCCCGAAGTCTTCAGTTGATCAAGGAAATACCATTTGTTACCATTTGGTGGGAGCGTGTTTATTCAGCGCTCACAAGATAGCCAGGCGTTCCCCTAACAGCCAAGTTATGGGTCCCTAACAGCCTTGTGAAGTTGAAACCACGGTGCTCCCTCTTGCAGAGGAAGACACTGCCATCAGAAAGGTGGATTTTCCTGCTTAGGGTTGCACAGCCAGTCTATGCCAGAGATCTTTGGGGAATTAGCCCCAAGTTTTGTCTCAACATGAGGCCTCCTTTGTCCACAGAACGACCTGGAGACTGATCGCCACCTATGGGCTTGGGAGAAATGCCGTAGAAAATATGAGACAAACTCCAGGAACCAGAGATTCCGGGACTCAAAGATCAGCATTTTAGAAGGAAGATTGATAAAAACAGGATTGGCCTGCTGCCTCCCCCTCCAGCCTTCCCTGCAGGGAACCCTACTGGGGGGAACACTGGAGTACAGGCTTGAGGTGCATCCTCGTGATCACATGACTAGTGTCCTGAGCCTTGGCTTGTCGTTTCTGGCCCCCAACCGAGGCATCTTTGGGGTCTCTGAGCAAAGGTAGTCTAGCACTACAGTCCTCTGGCCCTTTGAAGCTGACCTGGTCCCATCTTCTGGAACTTCAAAGCTTGGGGACAAGGGTGCAGTCAAGGCCAGTGCTGTCCTGGAGAGGGCAGAGGAATGAGGCAGCGTGACAGGTGAGTGTGAGTGGAAGGGACCAGCCGAGAGGCCCTGGGCTCAGTGCCGGGCTCTGGCCCGCGCTGGAGGAAGTTCCAGAATGTATCTGAGCCTTGGTTTGTCCTCTTGATTATGGGAGGGTGGCTCTAGGTTCACCGAGAGACCTTGCCTTAGAAGAAAAGGGTGGAGAGTGACAGAGCAGAATGCTGATGCCCTCCTCTGACCTAAAATGAAGGTGGGGTTCACCTCAGTGGTACAGCACTGCTTTGAGAGCCTGGGTCCAACCTCCAGTAAAGAAAAGAGAATCCTTGGCATTTGTCCCCAATCTGATACATCATTTTAATGTCTGCAACTCATATCCTGGTGATACACAACACATTTTTAACCAGTCCATGAACACGTGTTGATCGTTCTCAGATCGCACCTGGAGAACACCATCTCCTTCAGGTCTCTGTGGAGAAGGTGGTGTGACGCCCTCAGACTCTGGACGGTCACCCAGCAGGAGAGAACCATCCTTTTTTGTGGATTCTGGGGGATGGAACCTCTGTCCCACTTTCTTATTTTTGAGACACGGTCTCACTAAATTATCCAGGATGACCTTTAACTCACTCTAAAGCCCAGAAAGACCTTGGGCCTGTGATCCCTCTGCCTCAGCCTTGCTAAGTCCCTACAAGTTGCTGTGATTTCAGCCCTTCACCATCAGGCCTGATAATCTGTTTAAACAAAGGCAAATCAGGGCTTAGCTCAGGGTGGCTGCTAACTACACGAAGGACTCAATCTCTGTGTTATTTAGCAAATGTTGTGTGTTAGAAGGGTTTTTGATTGACAGGATAGTTGCAGAGACAGTGGCGGGTTCTTAGCAAAAATCCATGTGCCCGTTGCCCTGGTTTCCAATCTTAACACTGATACATTTGTCAAGATTTTAAAAAATCAATATTGGTATGTGGCTATTGTCTAAAGCAGAGGCTTCATTAATCAGTTTCCTAATTAATGCCTTTATTGTCCCAAAACCCACTAGGGGACCACTTTGTACTGAGTGTAACTTATTTTCTAAAATTACTTTCCATATTGATTTCATTTATCTATTGTTATTCCTTCCTCCATTAGCAAAGGAAGCTGATTTTTTTTAACTTTTAGAATTACATTTATTTACTTATTTATATCAAGACTGTACTACATCAGCCTATGCTGAAATAGGAACAGCAGTTGTCTCACGACTGAAAGCCTGAGAACCTCTTAGTTGCTCAGGCCGAGGCTGGGTACTTCAGCCTGGAACCCTCTGGCCTCGCCTGTCCTGAATTCCTCATAGCCAACAATAGGATCTTTCTAAATTCCGGTTTTTATGGGCGCGCGGGAGGGGGAAGGGGCGGGATAGGCCACCTCCGTGTGGCTATTGCCTGCCCTTAGTGATGCCCAGAATCTCAGCTGGAACCCCTCTGCCCTCCATAACTGATCCTTTTGACCTACAATAACCCGCTAGCTGATCTTGGCCCTGATTGGCCGATAGGGAGATCAGGTGACGGAGGCCCATGGCATTCAGCGGGGTCCTGAGTCACAGGCTCTGGGCTGGAACGTTGCATGTCTGACCTGCCCGCTAGTGTACTATTCCCACTTCCAGCTCCAACCTACCTTCCAGGAGAAAGAGCGACGGCCTTAGGGGTCATTGCTTAGGTCATGGTGACTCATATTCCAACCCTGACCAGGATGGCCGCCTACTTCCCCGCCTGTAAGACTAGGTGTGATGAAAATTCACAGGTTACCAGGGCAACAAGAGCCATCTCCCAAGTGCTGGGGCACCGTCCCTGAGGCTTGGGCACAGAGCAGCGAATGAGGCATGGGAGACTCCCATTTCTGGGCCTTTTAAGTACTAGTGTGGGATACACAGATTGTAACTTGGCAAACAGGAAAACGATCGACTTCACAGTTTTAAGTACTATGGTTAAAATATTACGGGCCTGAATACCTGGTGTGCCAATCCATGGCCTTGGAACAGGACCCGGCACATAGTAGGTGCTCAGCAAATTTTGTTAAATGGCTAAAGCTGAGTGAGTGGTTAGGGAAGTCTCACAGGAATGGGGGTCCCAAAGTGGAGGCCTGGGGGATGTAAGAGCTGCGGGTACAGACTGGCAGGCAGCATTAGAGAAAGTGAAAGAAGAATCCGGAGGCGTGAATGTTGCAAACTTCACAGAGCAGTGTATGCAGGAGAGAGGCTGCTTCTAGGACAGGCTTTTTCAATGTGTGGAGGCACAATTTGGAAACTTCCCTCTTAAGTGTCTGCGCGTAACCCTCTCCTACCAGCCGAGCCCCTGGCGAGCACTTTCTGCAGAGTCCTTCTGCGCCCCGCGTTCTCGCTTCCTGGGGCGCAGATCTGCGGGTCCCTCCCCGAGGCCAGCACCCGGGGTGGTGGCTTTGGTGGCTTAGGTGGCGGTGCGCCCGGCCCAGCCCGGAAGGTCGGAGCTCTGGGGCTGCGCAGGCGGGACCGGCCGAGGCCGGTGTGGGGCGGCTGGGCCTGGGCGAGGACGGGCGGGGATCGCCGGGGCGGGAGCAGCCGGGCCGCCGGAATCCAAGTCGTCGTCCCATGGGCCGCTGCCACCTCCAGGTAAGCCAGCCGGGAGCCGGGAGCGCCCCCCAGACCGCGGCCGCTGCGCTTTCGGACCCGGAAGTGCACTTAGGACTCGAGCGGGGCGGCAGGAGGGGAAACTGATGCCTGTGGAGCACGCGGGCCAGCACAGCCCAAGGCACCAAACCACTCCCCTAAGGATAAGGGGCTGGGCTGGAAGGTTAGAAAGGGTCTTGCCCAAGGTCACTCAGGGTCACTGGACGCCCCCTGCATACTGGGGGCCCCGGGTTCCCGCTCCCGCTCTCCAAGTCCCTAGACTCAATTCCCAGAGGCCTGGGAAGCCCCTGAGTCCGGGAAAGGTCTGGCCCGTCCTACTGTGGCCGGGGCGTGGCTTCTCGCCCGGCGGGTATTTACAGAACTGGGGACATTTCCTGCTACTGACGTGGGAGCAGATTTTACAGAGAAAACGGAGGCTGGGGACAGGGGGGTGAGTTTGGCTAGGACCAGGCAATCGGAGCAAAGAGGATAACAAGAGTGAGCTGGCTCCAGAGTTTGACCCAGGGTTAGATTCAAAGTTGGCCTCCTTGATGTCCTTGTCTTTCCCAGGTGTGGCCTGGAGTAGAAGCAGAGCCTGGCTAAGACTGTGGGTTTGATCCAGAGGCCACTGCTGCCTTGAAGTAGTGGGAACACCAAACCCTTGAGGCTTCCCAGGCCTCCATTCACTCACTATGTATCTATCGAACACCTACCGTGTGTCAGTGTGTACACTGCTTAGGCTCTGAAGACACAGCAGTGAACAGCCTTCCTCGGGAGTACTCTCCAGAGGATGAATCAGCTGGAGACTGGGCAGACCACCGAAATCTTCCCAACTACCCAGATGTGGAGAAAGCAGGGACCCGGGGACCCTTCCTCATAGTTAGAACAGTACTAAACCTTCTGAAGGTCTATGCCTCATTGAAATGCTTCTTCCAGCCTGAGTTTCCCACTTCCCAAAGATCTGGGGAATAGGTTAATGAATCTCCTGGGCCTAACAGATGCCCTCAGTGAACCTAGGAACCTGGCAAATCGTGCTCCTGCCGCTTCCGCTCCCCATCGCCTTGGGTGTCTCCTTGGACCTACGTTTCCTTATATAACACAAAGGGATCATAATTCCTCCTGGAGCTGAAGATACTGTCGGAATGCTTCGTGAACGCAAAAGCACAGTCCAGAGGGTCTTTACCAAGTCAAAAGTAAATTAAATACCAAGTGTGGTGGCGCACGCCTTTAATCCCCGCTCTTGGGAGGCAGAGGCAGGCAGATCTCTGTGAGTTTCAGGCTGGCCTGGTGTACCTAGCGAGTTCGAGAACAGCCAGGGCTATGTAGAGACCCTGTCTAAAAAAAAAGGAGGGGGGATTAAAATATTTGCTTTGAGTGCTGGGGATCAAATACCTCAAGCAAGCAAAGATGACTTTCTTCAGAGGTCTAGCGACTTGATAACCTGTTCTTGCTCTCAGTGGAGAAATCTTAGAAGCAGAGCTGGGGGTGGTTGAGTTCCAGGTGAGGAGGCTGAGGCTCCCTCTGGGGTTGGAAACACAACGCACACCTCACAGTCTGCATTTCCGGTTTGTGCACTCCTACAGACTCACACAGGGTCAGACAGTCCGGTTGTGTTCCTCAGCAAGCCATGGCCTCACGGGAACACCTTGGCTTCATTTACAAAATAATCTGTCTGCAAGCTTGGCAGGGGACTGGAGCAAAGCAGGGCCATGTCTGGCACCCTTGGGACCTTTACAGGCCCAGGCTTCAGTGTGTGGCTGGGAGGACACAACAGAATGGTTTAGGTTGCTGTGACTCTGCCTGTACCTGGATACCATGGGACTGGGAAGGCTAGACCAGAACCTGGGTGGGCAGCTGTGGGACCTGAAGATGGTCCATTACATTAGGCAGTTAATAGTCATCTTACGTGCCTTCAGTAGTTCTTGTTTTCTTGGAGACAAAGTCTCGTGTAGCCCAAGCTGGTCTTGAACTCATTATGTGGCCAAAGACCACCTAGCTCTTCTGGTCATCCTGCCACCACCTCCTGGGTGCTGGGATAAAACATGTGTGCCCTCACACCTGACTTTGTGATGCTAAAAATAGCACACAGTGCTTCAAGCAGGCATGAATAGCACACAGAATGCTTCAAGCACTCTCTCAACTGAGATCCCTGGTCTCTGAGACATTGCTATCCAGCAAAGGTTGGGGGAGCAGAGGAGTGGGGTCCTCCTTGAACCTGGTACAGCAGGCAGAGTTCAGTCTGTTCCATTTGACCTCCCCACACAGGCAGCTGAACCAAGGCCATGGTGCCTCTGCCTAAAACCTGCCCGGCTCCCTGTTTTCTTAGGGTAAAGAGCAAAATCCATGTGTCACGGACTCCAAGGTCCTTCCCCTGTGCCTGCTCTAGCTTAGAGTGCCCACAAACAGTCCCCTGCCTCACCTCTGCGCTGCCCCTTTTCCTGATAAACATCGTGCTCATCAGATTTTAGCCCAGCCCAGCTCTGTGTTCCAAAGGCCCAGGCCACTCTAGTCATGGGATCTGTGTGTCAGAGGTTAAGTCCAGGTGGCAATGAACTCTCATTTCCACCCCACATGTGCTAGGGAGCGCGTGACTTCTAGGATCTGGTCTGAGGCTGCTTGCTAGGTGTTCAGTAGAGAAAGCCATTGGTAGAAAGAACCTTTTGAGAAAGCTGAGGACCTTGTTGGACATAAAACTACATTTCCCTTTGCAAGGATATACTGAAGTCATTTCTCAGCTGTGGAGAGAGGCATTCATCATTCACTCATTCACTGATTCATTGATTCATTCATTCAGCACTGTTTCTGCCAGATGCTATCGCAGGGTACCTCAAGTAACATAACCCAAGTGCCACTTTCTAGTTGGAGAGACATCATCTTGATTCACAGCAGATCTCAACCTAATGCTGTGACCCTTTAATACAGTTCTTCATATTGTGGTGACCAATTATTTCGTTGCTACTTGTATCATAATTGTAATTTTGCTACTGTTAGGAATAATAATGTAAATATCTGATATGTGATCCCTGAGGGGGTCTTGAGTCACAGGTTGAGAACCACTGATCTTGAGCAAACAAATCAAGACAGAAGAGTTACCCAGGGCCGAGGTGATGGGGTTGCCGAGGTGATGAGGTTGCTGAGGTGATGGGGTTGCCGAGGTGATGGGGTTGCCGAGGTGATGGGGTTGCAGTGAACCTAGAGCTCTTATGGGACGTGGGGGAGTGGAGTGGACTGACAGACACACTGATGCCCTGGGCTTCAGCCACTGACTCCCTGACTCTTTTGGCCAGGGAGGCAGGCACATGGAAGAGGTAGAACCCACGTTAGCACTACAAACCCAGAAAGGCTCATGGCAGCTGAGTCCACTTAGTAAAATGACAGAGGAAAAAATATTCTGGGTTATTTTTTTATTTGTATTTTTTCTTTCTTTCTTTCTTTCTTTCTTTCTTTCTTTCTTTATTTATTTATTTATTTATTTATTTAATCTTATTGTATTTTTCAGTTCTTGGAGCCATAGTGTGTGCTAGATAAACACTCTGTCACTGGGCTACATTCCAGCCAGAACTTGGAATCTGAAGTCACATGCACCTAGGGTTCGTGGTGGGACTGCCGCATGCCAGTGATGTGACCCCCACTTTTGGTGAGCATTGGTTTCATCGTGTCAGGTGGGGATAAGGATGGTGTCTTCCTCATAAGGATGCTATGAAGCACAAAGGGTTGTGACAGTCTGCCCCAGGGAATCTTAGCAGAATTTGTTAGCATGATTGCTATATATAAAAGGCCCCACTTGGACATGGGGACACAGACCAAGGGAGGCTGAGTGGCTTCGGTGAGGGGGTTAGTTGCCCCCATGGCCATCTGGGGGAAAGAACATTTCACTGAAGGGACACATAGTGCAAAGGCCATGGTCTTGCAGTGTCTGGGGGGCTTGGGACCAGCAGGACAATGTGGCAACAGCAGAGTGAGGGAGGAGGAAACAGACGGGAGGGTAGTAAGGCCATAGGACCAGATTGCCTATGGCCCTGTCACCTTCGTCAAGGCCTGGACTGGATGAGAAAGGGCTCTTCCAAGGGTTGGAAGCAGAGGAGTGTATGCAGTGTGACTTCTTTGGGATGGTGCTGTCTTCAGGACACATGATGAATGGCGATAAGCGAAGGCAGAAAGACATGGGAGACTAGTGAGGAGGCTCCTCTGTGCCCCCCACGAGAAATGGTGGTGGTGTGTGCCAGGGCCCCAGCAGGGAGAAAGGGAGCAGTGGCAAATGTGGACACAGACCACAAGGGCCTGTCCTGCATGCATCCTCCCTTTCTGTCCCACTCCAGGCTGCTGAAGGGAGGCGATGGTACCTTCCAGGCCCAACATCTCCTCCTTCTGGTATGTAAGGTGGTTGTCCCAGACCCTCTAGGCTCTTCTGTGTTGGAAGTGTTGCTATGGAGATCTCCTAACAAACTTGATTTATCTCTAGCTTCCAGCTAGACTTTGAGGTAGAGGTATAGAGTGATTATTGTGTTGGGGTGGGGGAGAAGCAGGGGGAGCTGGAGTCCTTGCTTCTAGAAGCTTCTTATCTTATGAGTAGGTGAGTGTGTGTGAGAGAGAGAGAGACAGACAGAGACTTAGAGAGAGAGTTTGCAATTATACTCTTAAAGGTTTAAGGAGGCTACTGTGGATCTGTGTTGAAATGGACTTCTGAGATAAATGTTTTTCTTGGCCCTGTGCTTGGGGTTTTCAGTCTCCAGCCCTCCCTAGACACCATAGCCATCTCTCTATTAATTATCTGATTGCCCTGTAGAATCATCTAAAAATTCACTCATGACCAGAACAAGGAGAGAAAAAACACCTCCTTCTGTTCACACGAGCACACACACACACACACACACACACACACACACACACACACACACACACACATTCCTATCATATCTGACCTTGACTTTCACAGACTGCTCACAGCAAGAGCCACAGCTGGAAAAACATTAGTTCATTCTTGTGTGGGGTCTTATAAAGAAAGGCCTGGGCCTGGGCCATGCAGTGTTAGGATGACTTAAAGCATGATATTGACCATGCTTGATGGCCTTTTCCATGCTGGCTTTGGGATTTTCTTCTTCCTCTAAAAAGAAATCACACTGCCTTTTTTTGGGTGCCAGTCAGCAAACGCCCACTGGGTGCTCAGCACTGGTGCTGGCTGGGCACAAGGCTACTATTTATGGAATGCCTGACTCTCAGTCCCACCAGTGACAAAATCACTTGACCAGCATTTTCCTTAGTGGTAGATAATGTGGCTGGTTGGCTAAAAGTCACAATCGTCAAGGATAGGAATGAGGTCTTTCCAGAGCCATCCCTGTCCGGCATGAGTCTGGGTTCACAGCCTCACTGTGGGTGGGGCAGCTCTCAGGCTGTAAAAGTTGTTCCCCTGGCATAGATGTTCTTCTAGATCAAACATGGACCTTGCTTGGAGTCCCTGGATGTCTTTACAATACCTGGACATGATCCCCCGGAGACTCTGGGAAATGGTGCCTACTCCCACCCTCATGACCTCCTGTCCCTAGTACTGCTGGGAAACCCAGGGCCCACAGATGCTGGGACCAGCAGCATGGTTTTCTTGCCACAGGAATCCGGTGTTTCTTAGCATCAGTGTCTCCTCACACGCACTTGAGGATCTCAGTTTAACTTTGGGCTGAGTCCTGATCTTAACCCACGGCAAGGAGTGGAGGCTCCCTGGACCAGTGCACACAGCTCAGGCGGTGCTCCCTCCCCCCCCCCCACAGGTGCCACCACACTCCTTAGGTAGAGGGGAGGGGGGCAGCCCAACCAATCACATAACCCAGAGCTGGAACCCCAGGCTCCTTCATCCCTACACTGTAGATGGCTGAGCATTGCCTCTGGCGTCTGTTTTACTGACCTGCCTGTTGGTCAAGCAATGGAACATTTTGGTGACCTTGGCCCCACTGAGTTGGTTTAGGCTACATGGAGCTGTCGTTCTGACCAAAAACACCCCCTGCCCAAGGAGAAAGTAACAGAACTGTCATTTAATTTATCTTTTTCTAGTCCAGGGAGATGGGATCAGCAGGTATAGGTGCCTACTGCCAATCTTGAGGGCCTGAGTTTGATCCTGGGGTCCTAAACAGTGGAAGGGGAGAACCATCATTTGCTGGTTGTCCTCTGACTTCTACATGTGCACTGTGGCATGTGTGCCTACACACACACACACACACATACACAGAGAGAGAGAGAGACAGAGAGAGAGAGAGAGAGAGAGAGAGAGAGAGAGAGAGAGAGAATGTAATTCTAAGTTAATTGATTTATCTCTTTTCATTACAATAATATCAATAAGCTCATGACAGAATATGCCAGAAAAATAGAACCCAGTAACCACTAGTCCCTTGGCCAAGAGAAAAGGGTCATGAACATTTCCCTTCAGATCTTTTTACTCTGTAAACATTTTGTAAAACGTAACTAGAGGGCTGAAGAGAGGCCCCCTGCTAAGAGCGCTTGCTGCTCTTCCAGAGGACCCAAACTCAGTTCCCAGCACCCACATCAGGTTTCTCACAACTATGTGTAACTCCAGCTCTAGAGATGTGATGCCTCTGGACTTCTCAGGCACCTGGACTTGTGTCACATACCTATATGCAGACACTCCCCCCCCCCCCCGCCCCCGCACATAAAAATAAATAAATAAATAAATAAATTTTTAAAGAATAACTCAAATTACGTATCTGGTAATATGCTAAGTTAACCACCTCTCTAGGAAAAAAAAAAATCAGGATTTGTAGCCTTTGCCAATTCCTGTGGTGTAAATGCCCTCACTGTCAGTTCCAGGCTAACAGCAGCACTGGACACAGAGCTGGGAAGAAAACTGATGCCCACGGGCCAGCCTGAGCCAGCTTCACCCCCACGTCTGATGGTTCCATAATTAATTCAATGAGGTTCCCAAAGATTCAAAGGTTTCCGTCAGGATCACTTGGCCCTCCTGTTGGAGCCTGTGGCAGCTCAGGGCATCATGTTGGGCATGAGGGGTGGAGGAAGTCTGTTCACCCCACAGTAGCCAAGAAGCAGAGAGTTAGGAAATGGTGGAGCTGGTGCACCCCAATGACATCACTTTCTTCCACTGGGCTCCCCCTCTTAAAGATTGCCCTGTCACCCCACCTTCAAACACTATAGCAGACCGAACACCAAGCCCTCTCTCTCCACTTGGACATGTGAGGGGGGATTTATAAACTGCAGCAATATTCTAAATTTTAAATCTCTTTTTTTTCTGATCTTAAAATCAATATTCACCCATTATTAAGAATTCACAAAACACAAACATAAAAGAAAAATATGAAAATTACCCTGAATTCAGCCTCTATCTCTGTGGAGTGGGCCATGGTCAGCTCCTGTCACAGGTTTCAGTAGCTCCCTTTCCATGTATACACACACACACACACACACACACACACACACACACACGCACGCACGCACGCACGCACGCACGCACGCATATGGCACCTTCTAGAAAGTTCAAAGGAGTTTATGGCAGAAAACAGTAGAAATACACTCACATCCCTGACAGTTTACCTCTCAGGAATGATTTTGGAAAATGCCCTTATCATGTTTTTTCTCTCTGCATGTTTTTATGTGATTAGATTCAATTTAAATCTCCTCAGTTTTAGGGATTCTTGTGCACCGATGAAGTATTTAAAACTTGGTTAGCTTTTAAAAAGGCAAAAAGTAATATTCTTTGCTGGATGTGTGTGCTGGCTAGTTTTATGTCGACTTGACTCAAGCTGGGGTCATCTGAGAGGAGGGAACATTCGTTGAGAAAATGCCTCCATAAGATCAGGCTCTGGGCAAGCCTGTAGAGCATTTTCTTAATTAGTGATTGACGGGGGAGGGCCCAGTCCATTGTGAGTATGAGCACCCCTGAACTGATGGTCCTGGGTTCTGTAGGAAAGCAGGCTGAGCAAGCCAGTAAACAGCTCCCCTCCATGGCCTCTGCATCAACTACTGCCTCCAGGTTCCTGCCAAGCTTGAGTTTCTGCCCTACCTGCATTCCATGATGAACAGTGAAATGGAATTGTGAGTGGAATAAACCCCTTCCTCTCCAAGTTGCTTTTGGTCATGGTGTTTCATCACAGCAACAGAAAACATTGACTAAGACAGAAATTGGTACCAGGAGTGGGTCATTGCTGTGACAGACCTGACCATGTCTTGGGGGGATTGTGGAAGGACTTGGAACTTTGGACTAGAAAAGCCATCAAGTGCTCTAACCTTGGTGAGCTGTCCTGTGGGATCTTGGAAAACAACAATATTGGGAGAAATGTAGACAATGAAGACCTGGCTTCTGAAGTTCCAGAGGGAAGTTTGAGGGTCCCTTAAAGACTTGATCGCTGGGCTGTGGTGGCACACACCTTTAATCCCAGCACTTGGGAGGCAGAGCCAGGCGGATCTCTGTGAGTTCAAGGCCAGCCTGGTCTACAGTGTGAGATCCGGGACAGGCACCAAAACAACACAGAGAAACTCTGTCTCGAGAAAAAAAAAAAAAAAAGATCAAAGCCATTGCATATTTTGAAATAAGAATCTGTGGTTCTGGTCAGCTGGGGCTGAAGAATCAGCTGTGGTTAGCAAGAGACCAGAACCACTAAAGTGAAAACCTTTACTTTGCTGAGATAATTGATGCTGGTCAGCTGGAGCTGAGAAATTATTGGTGACTAAGACAAGACCAGCATCACTGAGGTGCAATCTTCTGGGAAGTGTTTCCTGAGAGTCAGCATACAGAAGCTGTGGTTCAGAGGCAGTCAAAGTTGTACCTTGTGCTGGTAGCTGAACAGGGTCATGTATCAAAGTCTCCCACAGTACTGGTTTTGAAGGCATGCAGGGGTGATGGAGAACAGCTGGGGCTTGGCACTGTGAGAGGCCAGGAGCGGCCATTGGTGCAGGTGCAGCCAGAGTAACAGTTGAAGGCCCAAGGTTGAAGGGGTCATGGAGAGAAGTTGAGGTTTTGGCACCATAAAGAGAGCCCAGGAAAGGCTATTGGAATGCAGCCCCAGTTGCTATAGAAGATTCCAGCATTTTGGAGATGCCAGTACCATGTTACACAATGACTTTTTAAATAGGAGAAGAAAAAAAAAAGAAAAAGAACAAAGTACAAGAAGAACACTCCCTGCTTTCAAGGCTTCTAAAGCTACATGAAGGCACAAAAGATAGACAAACAGATCGCCAGACAAAGCAGAGACACAAGACACCCAGACATACGGACAATGATTCCCAACAAAGGTGTAAAGGCATAGTAACTCATGTCTGTAATCTTAGCAGTCAGGAGACCTGGGAGGCAGAGGCAGGTGGATCTCTGTGAGTTTGGGTCCAGCCTGATCTACATAATGAGTCCCAGGCCAGTCAGGGATACATAGTGAGTGTCTATCTTATAAAAAGATCTGGATAGCCTATGCAACTTAGTGGACTCTGTGTGTGCATGCGTGCATGCGTGTGTATGGGAAAGAAAGGGTTGTAGCTCATTGGTAGAGCCCTTGCCTAGCACATGTGTGAGGCAATGTTGAAACAAATGGACAGACTGGAGTCCAAATTGTTTGACATTTGGGGGTGCCCTGGTTCAGAACCATCCCTGAGTGATCTCATGCACAGCCCCATCTCCCTTTCCATCTGAGGTCCAGTTAGGGTGTGGAAAGTTTCCCATCTAACCTCAGCTCATTAACTTGTTCACAAACAGGTGTTTTCTGAGCAGCTGCTCTGCTGGATGCTTCATGGACCCAGCAAGCTGCCGTACAGAGAGATAATTCCTGCCTGTGGTGACCAGGCTAACCCAGGGACCAAGTGTAGCCACAGCCCAAGGCACAGGGACATCTGTGAGATGGTCCGAGCTGTGCCTGGCACTCTGAGGCTGCCTGCTGCTGTGCTGGGACAGGCACCTGAGTGAGTCAAGGGGCACAGCCCAGGCTGACTGCCCCTTCTCCCACCTGCTCCAGGTTCCACACCCTCTGGACCCATGGCTGGTTTTTCTCGTTTGGTCTCTAGAGCAATTTGCATATTTCCTTGAAGAACCCTCTGAAGCCGAACAGCCTGTCCTGGGACTGAGAGAAAGGGACGCCCACGTTGGTTCTCCAGACCTGGGTAAGGACCCTGGGGCTTTCCTTTGCTGCATTTCTTTAAAGTCTCTCTCTCTCTCTAGCCTAGAGTCCCCACGAGGGGAGCCATTGTCTGTCTGTCTTGGCACAGTCCCCCTGTGTCCCCACCAGACAGCCTGGTGTCTGGCACCTGGTAAGTGCCAGTACATGCTTCTTAAATCTTACATGCTGGTTAGTTTGTAGTGGGGATGGACACTTAAGACTGACTTGGGCCCCAAGAAACAGCCTCTTTATGTTCTCTACATGCTCCTAGTGGATTCTTTTGACTTTTGTTTCAAAGAGATGTCGAATGTAAAGGAAGTTACAGAACTAATACTGGAAACTCCTGTGTTCCCTCACCCCCTCCCTGGGTGGCCACTGGCTTTGAACACGAGAAAAGCCTTCCCTGGACCAGTGGGC